TTCTCCTCAACGGTCAAGATCGGACGCGAACTTCAAAAGGCATGTGCGGATCTACAGTAAAGTGTTAAGGTTATATATTGATCGTAATCAGAGTACAAGGGGCAATACCATAGAGCTATCTAGAAACATGGCCGAGATGGCCAGCATCTTCAAAGGAGCACGTGGAACACACGTTATTTCTTGTCCTACGGACAACCGCCAGCAGCCTGGGGAGACGCTCTATGCGGGAGCAGTCTACGGTGGGCGGAACGGGTTCCCCAAAAGCCACGAGAATCTAAGGTCGGGGTGAATGGAAGGCGTGCCGGTCCTGTCAAAGAGGAGGAAACGGAGTTTTTTGCGCTCGCTTGATGCTGGAGGATATGCGTTGACACTTCTTGGCAGATTGGCGTCTGCCTCTCCACATAAAAATTTTGAAGGCGATGAGGAATTGGGCTAATACCAGCTGCAGTGTCTCGAAGCTCGAGGCGGAGGAGTTGCGGTACTTGTGGTCGCAACGATCGTTCCAAAGTGTTTTAACTGCGGCTCCCACTAGAAGGCTCCATGGGGGGGATTGTCCCACCCGTGACTGTATCGGGAAGAAGATGTGTTCGGCGGGGGTAGTTTGTCTGAGGTGGCGGTCAGCGACCGTGCGGAGGGCCGAGATGACGTTTCTGGCGGAGGAGCACTCAAAGAAGATGTGCGGCAGTGTCTCGACGACGCCAGCTGGGCACCTGGGACACACCCCACGGTCGTCAAAGTATTGGAAGCGTGATCCGGATGGAAGGGTGAGCGTGTAGAGTCTGAAAAGGACATCCCGTTGGCGGCTCGGCTGGTCTTTGAGAAATGAGTCCTTAAGGCCAGGGAGGGGAGGAGGAGGAAGGGTGAGATCGCGGGTCCATCGGCTATGGTGAGTAAGCGGTTGCGGTGAGTAGAGGAGACGTCGGATGTCAGCGAGGCTGGGGACGCCGTCCTGAAGAAGTTCAATCCTAGCTCCTAGCCCTGCCCCTGTGTGAAGTGGCCATGCGAGCCACCAGTCCCTGACGTGCACCTCTATGAGGTCCTGAAGTCGGAAGAGTCCGGTAGTTGCCGGTGGGCGAGTGATGCGATGGTTTGGCGATACGAGGTGGACGGTAGCCGAGACGGAGGAGGGGGGGATGTAGGCGACGACTTGGACGACTAGGTGCGAGATGGAGTAGTGGTCGTCGGAAAGCATGAACCAGTCACCTGGGGAGGCAGAGGAGGCGTGTGGGGTTCAGAGGGCGGCCCACCAGGGACGTTTGATAGCTTTGATGAGGTCAGGGAGGATGCGGGTTGCGTCATCGTGGAATTCCTCCGGGAGTTGGGAGCAAAACTCTTGTGCTGAGATGGGGTTCACGCCAAGGTTGGTGACTCGGACAATGTGTCCGACGCGGAGCTGCCTGGTAAGCAGGAAGCGCTCGTGTTGGCGGGTGCCGAAAGGCCGATTGTCAGGTTTGAGGAGCGAGCGGTTGAAGGCGAGAGGTTCGGAAAGGATGCACTGCATGCATAGGGGGGGGCCATGGATTACCAGGGGAAGAGAGAGGATAGCTTTAAGTTCGTCCAGCGCCCGGGGGGGGATGAAGGTGGGGAGATAGCCTCGTTCGAGGATGGCTTTATGGGAGAGCAGACCGTGTCGCCCAAAGGGGAATGGAGTCAGGGTACGCGCAACTTCTTCGGACGGTGTGGGTCCAAATCTGCGCAAGGCACGCTGGATAGCGAGGGCTTTGACCTTTGTAGATGGGGCGATCACCCCAACCCCGCCGTCTCAGGGGGAGTTGTATAAGAGCCATTGGGGAGGAAACGTTGTGCGAGGCCGTCCTGTTTATGTTTGGAGGACGAGAGGAAATTCCCGACTGATACGTCCAGGCGTTTGATGGTATCCGGTGGAGCTGGTTGGAAGCGTCTAGGATAGGAAATGACAGAGTTAAAAAAGATAGAGGAGAGCGATTTGCGGCACGTGACCGTGGCATGTAAGGCCGCCATGAATTTGGCAGTGTTTTGGATACGAGCAAGGGCCATAGTCCAGGTAGTGGATCCGGGGTGTAATCGTTCGACATAAATTCCGAGAATGCGTTCTGCTTCGTCAGGGGCACGAACGGGTATAGGCCCGGTGTGCACAAGGTCAGTGGGGGGGATGTTGAAGGGAATAATGGAGCACTTGTTCCAGTTGGGGACCTCCCCAGACACGGATCCAAAAACGCCTAGGAGCATCACTGCGAGGCCGAGCTTTGTGTCGGAGGTGAGGAAGAGAGTTACATCGTCCGCGTAACATGCCATGAGTCGGCGCTGGACAGGGGACAGGGCGAAGCCGGGGAGGAAGAGGGCCATATAGCGGTGGAAGATCTCAATGACGCAAACGAAGAGTAGAGGCGCCAAAGGGCAGCCCTATCGGACGCCCGTACGAACGGGGAAGGTGGGGCCGAGCATGTTGTTGACCGAGATTCGTGTGCTCGTGTCGGAGTGCATTAGCCGTACCCAGTGGATGAAGGATGCAGAGAGACCGAGGACCGCTAAGGCTTGGAGGAGGAAGGGTCGGTCGACGAGGTCATAGGCCTTTCGAAAGTCAACCGTAAGAGCGAGAAGAGGGGCCGAAGAGAAGGCCGCCCAGTCCATAATGTCAAGGGTGTCGTTGATTGTATCTCCGATTTTCCTGTTTTTAATGAAGGCGGTTTGTGACGGGTGGATGAGCTGGGGGAGAACGAGCTGAAGGCGGTTAGCCAGACATAGAGCGAGGACTTTGTAATCGGCGTTCATGAGGGTGATGGGGCGGAGATTCTCTACCAGCGAGGAATCACCCCTTTTTGGAATAAGGACAATACGTCCGGTCAGCATGGACGGAGGCAGGCGAGAGAGTGGCTGTAGTGGGGAGAGCAGGGAGTGGAAGGCCGGTGCAAATCGCGGGGGAAATTGCCGAAAGAGTTCCCCGGGAAGGCCGTCTGGGCCGGGGGTTTTACCTCGGGACAGAGATAGCAGCGCTTTTCCAATTTCAGCTAGGGAAAGGGGGGCGCTGAGTCGTAGGAGTAAGGGGTTCGGGATGCAGGAGGGGGGGATGTGTTGCCAAAAGGAACTGCTTGGGGTGATGGGGCTGTTTCCGATGTAGAGTGTCTGGAAGAAGTTAGAGCACATGTTGGTCATGGTGGGGAGGTCCGACGTCGTCTGTCCATTAGGTAAAGTCAGCGAACTGATGATCGAGCCTTTGATCCGTGAGTTGAGGCCAGAGAGAAGAGAGGAAACTCCCATTTCTCTGTGCCCTTCCACTTTGAGCTTGGCCTTGAGCGCAATCTCGGAGGCTTTCGCGGCTTCATACCTGGTCAGATGGAGTCTTGCTTGGTCAAGGCGGTTGGACTCGGCCTGAGTCAGGGGCGTGTACGCTGCATGTCGCTGTAGGGAGCCGATGGTATGTTCCAGATGTGCGATCGTGCCATCGACGCGGCGTCTAACCTGGTTGGAAAAGCGTTTGAGGTTGAGGGTGAGGTCGAGGTTCCAACTATCCCAGGAGTCTGGGGAAGGGGTGGATGGGAAGACTGCGAGGGCGGAGTCGATGATTTGTGAGACATGGGGGCGCATGAGTAGATGCTGTCGGAGTCGCCATGGTCGAGGGGCAACTGTTGGGTTGATGAAGCTGAGCGAGCAAAGGGGGGCGTAGAGGTGGTCTGTGATTGCCGTGCGGGTTTGGATGTACGGACATGCCGCAAGACGGGATACGAAGGCCCGAGAGATGTATATCCTGTCGAGTCGGGAGGCGGTGGGCGGCGTTGCACTATTGTGACGCTGCCTCACGTAGAAGGAGAAGACGTCTGTCGGCGTGGGGTAGAGTTCACGAAAGGTGTCGATCAGTGCGTGGTTATCCATGAGTTTGGCGAATGAAGCGCCCTCACGGACCTCGAAGTCTTTGGGAGGCAATTTCTGTCGATGGGAAGGACTACCGAATTGAAGTTTCTGACAAGCATGGATGCAGCGGCAGCGGCCGGGGCGTCAAGTGCCGGGACGAGTGTGGTGGTCCACCACATCCGGCGCTCGCGAAACTGTGTGGGGGCGTAGATGGCAATAAGGCGAATTTGCTCACGGAGATAGTTGAGGTGCACAGTGAGAAGTCTGCCATCTGCGGAGGGGAGTGGAGAGGACAGTGAGATAGCCCTTTTGAAAGATAAGATAGAGACACCACCGATGAGAGTGGGCCTCCCTGTACTGCTTTCAGTAGAGAGTAGTGCTGGGGCGTGAGCGGAAGCGTGCGGTCGAAATTTTAAGTCCAGGTTGGGTATTCTGTCGATGAGCCGGGTGTCAATGAGGATGACGAGGTCAGTGGGAGCAGGGAGTCTCGCCATCCACGACCTTAGCTCATCCATTTTGCTTGTCCCGTTAATACCGTTCACGTTAATGCATAGGATGCGTGTGTGTGTTAACATGGCCAGGCTGTGGAGGCCACCGCACGGGAAAACGTGCGTATCCACAGCCTGTGTGTTGGGGAGCTTTGATGTGAGGTCGTGTAGGGCGGATGGAGGGAAGGGCGGGGGGACGGCGCATTGTTCCGAGGCACTAGGCGGTCAGGCTGGGGGAGGGGGGGCAGGGTGTTGTGCTGTGTTCGTGTGTGTGGGGGGAAGGTTCTTGTATGAGTGTGTTCGCGAGTGGAAAGTCGTGGCCTGCAAGGTGGGGAAGGTCGCGTTGGGCAGTGGATTGTAGAGCCACGTATAGTGGGCGCAATGTGACTGTTGGGGTGGTGTACATTCAGCATGTAAGTGTGGTGTGTTCCGGGTTCCGTTGGCCCCTGCAAGTGGGACCCGCTTCCGACTTTCCTGGCTCTTCTCCTTCGTGCACAGGGGGTTCCATTACTGATGGAGCTTTTGTGTAGGGATACAGCTCTCCTTGCTTGTGGGGGGGGGGGGGGGTCGTAATAGAGTTGGTGTTCATTGAGTTTGCGGGGTCGAGTTTTATTGATATGATCAGTACATAGCAACTCCGACCTAGCGAGCAACGGCAATGGTCCAGAGACATGCATGTGAAACTTAGGCGCGGGTCAAGAACTTCAACTTCTTGAGAAACTCATCGAATCCTCCTTCCTTCATGAAGGCAGAATAGCTCCAAGTGAGATACTTCTCCTTGGCTGCCTTGTGCGCGTTTGCGAGCAGCTGGGCGCGGTGCTGTGGTGATTCCATGTGCTGCAGCGCACTGTCGATGGCAGGGCCGCACTCAAAGTTGCAGGCCACGCAGGTCCATGGCTCGACGTCCAGGTCCGTTCCGATGAAGAGAAGCCCGGGGTCGGCGCGGAAGGCGTTGGGCGCGGTTCGGGCTCCAAGGACGCTTCCTGTGGGTCGGGTTCAGTGGGGAAGGGCGGGGGCAGGGGGGGTGTGGGGGAGATATAGGTGTTGCGGGAGAGAGGGGGGTCTTGGGGGGCGGTTTGAGGGGGACTCTGATTGGGGGGTAGCAGGGTGGCGAAATGGGAAAGCAGTGACATACCGGGGGGTGGTGAGGAGGCAGGGGTGGAAGAGAGAGGGCGGGGCAGAGACGTTTACCATTTGCCTGCTGCAACTGGGCAACTGTGAGATGCGCCTTGTTACTGAGCCGTCCCTTGCGCTTACAGGAGAAGATCGCGTGGTCCTCCATGCGGTGGTTGCTTGCACAGATGGAGCAGGCGTGGGTGGAAACTTTGACGAGGATTTCTGGCTCGTTACCGCCGATGGGGATCAGGGCTGGGATGGTGCAGATATCAGGGTCTGCCGTCAACGGGATAGGGATTCTGGTGAAGATGTTGAGGAACACCCCGTCATAGGGGTCTTGCATGCGGTGGAAGGAGTTGATTCCGGCTAGCCAGCGGGGCACCAGGTACGCCAGCAAGTTCGATTCTTCAAAGCGGGCTGGAACACGGCACAGGGAGAGTACGGGGGACCCATTGGCCTTGGCCGCAGTGAACTCGGGCTGAGGGTCGGTGTACGGTTTGACCGAGATGGAACGCCCGGGGCCGAGCTCAATGGGGTTGTTGAAGATAGGGAGGAACTCGCGGGCAGATTGTTCCGTAGGCCAGGAGACACAGATCGTCGCATAGGACCGTCCGGCGAACCGCATGGTTTCTCCGTTGGCGGGGCGAGCATCGGGTACGAATCCGCAGGAGAAGAGAGAAGGCTTCAGTTTCGCGAGGATTTTGGACAGGAGCGTGGCGCGGATCTTGTCAGCTCCTGCCTCAGGGAAGAGCAGGGTAACCACAGAGCAGCTACTCGCCATGAGGGTGGGGGGAGGAAGAGTCGGGGGAGGCGGAGCAGGCGGACGAGAGGAGCGCGGCAACTCGGGCTCGGGGGGCGTTTCCATGGGCGGGATTGCCGCAGCGTTCGTTTCGGCGATCACAGCAGAGCCGCTCGGGGTTGACGAGCTCGGGCCGGGAGTCGCTGGAGCCGGGTGGACGGGATCAGCGACGCTTGGAGCCGAGGCAAAGCCTGCAGCGGCGGAGGCATTCGTGCTGGTGGTCTCTCGGGCGTGCCAGCAGACCCTGCCATGACCAGAGTTGACAGCAGCCGATTCGTGAGAGCTGGGATCGGCGTCGACGCAAGGTTTCTTGGATGCAGGGAGTTCCGTGGGCGAGCGGGTGCGCGGGAGGTTGGAACCAGCGGGGTCTTCCGGGAGGTCCATCGCTTCGAGGTCCTCATCGGTGAGCTCCATTACTGCAAAGAGTGGAAGGTGGGGGAGCAAAGGGTGTGAGGGCGAGCGGGAGATTGAGTGGTGAAAAGGAAAGGCAGTAGGTTAGAAATACTCCCGAACAACGACAGGCAGCCGAGAGGCAGCACAACGCACGGGGGAAGGAGATGGAGCGTGACGGAGGTTGTGTACCGGTGGGTGTAGGAGTTGGGGACCGTAGAGTCCGCGAGAAGGCGAGGGTGGAGTTGGCCATCCAGCCCACGTGGGAGTTTCCGCATGCAGAAGGCGGTGCTTTGGGGTGAGCGGTGCGTGGGGACTACCGCGTCCGGTTAGGGGCGGGGACAAGTTGAGCACGGCGGATGCAAAGGCGTTGGCCAAAGCAATTCCGAGGGGGTGACCGGCAGCCTGATCGGCATTCCGAGTCTGGGTTCCATACCGGCTCGAAAGCACGGCGCGGGGTTGAGGCGGTGAGCAATTTTCGAGGTAGCGAGAGAAGGGGGAAGGTTAGACTTAGAGAGCGTGAAGGTGGAGGAACGAACCCCGAGGGCATGCAAGGATAGCGTGAGCGGGGGGGCAATTCTCTGGGTGTGCAGTGGGGCGTGTAAGGGAGGCCACAAGGAGAAGAGACGGGTAGCAGAGCCCAGGGCGGAGCATGGTCCTCGACGTACCTTGGTGGGAGAGGTGTGGAGGAGAGCCTGTTGACGCGGTGGTGGCTTGTGACTGGTGGAGGGAAGTCGGTGTGGAAATGGCAGACATACTTACCTTGTGATGGTTTGCCGCCCGTATCTGGACGAAAGAGTAGCAGGGCAGCAATGCTGCTCCAGCGAGGCTGCCAGCACGCCTCCTGACGGCGTGGGACATTGATTATGTGGGCGCTGCGCGTATTTGGGGGTAGTTTCCGATTGTGTGGCGAGTTCCAGGGTATGAGACGGTGAAACCAGAAGGAGCGAGCGGGGCGGCTTAAACGCTGTTGCTTAGAAACTTGTTCTACGGTGCGTGGAGAGAGCGATGGGGTTTGCACGGAAGGGTATAGAGGGAGCTTACCAGTGGTTCGAGAAATTCCAAGCGCGAAGACGGAAATTTTGGTACGGAGAGATTGTAGGTGTCTCTGGGCTGACTGGTGAGGTTCGAGCGTGGCGAGGGGAGGTGGGCCAAGTGGCGCAGTCAATTGCCAGCGAAACTCGAAGGCATTATGAGAGCGGCGGGAGTGTTTGTCGGAGCCAAGGTGTAAAACGATTCTTGGGGTTGGCGTGGGGTGGCCAAGTTGCGTGGGGCGGGCAGGAGTGGTTGTTGGTGAGAGTTGGCGGAGGAGCGGGTGGCTGTTTGGGGGCACCGTGTGGCTGCGTGTGAGGCAGAAGAGAACACCCAAAACAAACACGAACAGGGGATTTTGACGAGATAAACTTACCTCGAGTCGGGAGAGTCCGGGCTTGCGAACCTTGCATAATCTGCAGATGGTGTGGCTCTTCCTCGACTTCAGGGGAAAGAGGCTAAGTTCCGGGCAGTCCTGGCCATTTCGGCCTAAGCGATGTGTTTGCGACATAGTCGGGGTTGTTGATCTACAGTGAAGGGTGTGGGAGCAAAGGAGGACAGCAAAGAGGGGGAATGGGAGGGGCTTGGCCCAATCTGACAGCTGGAGAAGCGATGGCACTAAGCCGCATTTGCGACCAAGACGAGAATCTGACGTGGAGCAATGCCTTCAACTCGATTTGGGAGAGACCCAGTACCTTCTATAAGCCGCCGTAAAAGAGTTATAGGGAGAGCAGTGTAAACCTCACTAGGTAGACCTGCGCTCTCCCCCCCCCCCCCCCAGTTACGACTGTGGATATAATGCATTGCATAGTGTATTATGTCCCAAAAAAAAAAAAAAAAAAGATCGGACGCGAATTTCGACTAAGAGAGATATACGCGACGTACGGAATTCATGCTCGTCGATTTTAGCACCCATAATTCAATTATTTTCGTCGCGCTTCTTTCTGTAAATCGCTAAAAGGGAGGGAAATAGAGAAATTTTAGTACAGAAAGTCGCAGAGTTACGTGGTGAGCATAAGCAGATACGTGCGGCGCTCCCACGACTCGAAAAACTCCTTGCGAACTAGTCGGTAGCCGCAGCAGCAGCAGCAGTAGCAGCAACGACGGCGACACCGACAATTGTACCTGCGACAACGGCAGCAGCTACAGTTAATCTTGAAGCAGCGAATCCGAGACAACCAGACGCGTTCGATCCTATAGTCAAAGGGAGCGACGTTCGTCGATTTGTAGCTGAACTCGAATTTTATTTCGAAGCCGTTGGATGCACGACCCCCACCCAAGACGCATTGCGCATACGGCTCGTAGCAATATGATTACAAGGCCCAGCTCTAGAGTGGATCAACAACAGAATAGTCCAAGGCGAAGGGACGTGGGCGCAGTTTCGGGCAGCACTAATCAAACAGTTCGACGCGTTGAACAGTAGCTACTACGGAACACGACGCAACAAGCCAAATAGTGGCATGGAGCGATTGGCACCACCCACGACTGCCGACCCGATGGAGAACGACAAGGACGATGCGACGCAGCGGCTAGCAAAAAATGAGACGTGCGAGTTTTGCGGCGCTACAGGATATCCTCTCTTGGCGTGTTGGAAAATGAATAAAGCACGAGTGGAGCCGAAGGGCAAGAACGGTGTGGCACCTCCGGAGCGGAAAACGGACAACGTGTCAACTTTGGAGATGGCCAAAAAAAGGAGAATATGGTGGCGCGAATTTAAAACGTCACGACCAGCCGGCACCAGGGGAAATCGCCGAGACTAAAAGAGGATCCGCGAAACAAGACCCTGCACCGACCACGAAACTCTAGGCATACACCTCGACAAGTATGAATATTACTTCTCGTGGATTTCAAGCTTATATTAAGGGAGAGTCAGAAATTAAACCGGTACCGGGTAATATGGGGACCCTACTCCGGAGCGCTAATAAGGGTCGAGCGTTCCGAGGAGTTAATATTCTCTCCCAGCAGCCCTGTTTAAAGGCTCCCAGCCGTTCCCCACAGGAAAAGCCTACACAGCTGCAAAGGCTTAGGGGAAGGTTCCAGGCCCCAGAGAAGCTGAATCGGCCTCGGATAAATCCTTCTAACCCTGCTAAGTTGAAAAGTAATATGGAGTCAGCAGCTTCGAGTGCAGGACAAGGGTCGATACATTCTATCTACCTTATGATCCTGTAAGCAACACCATCTACAGCTACTCGGAGCGGCAGCAGCCACTAGTTCTCGATGTGATCTGCAACGGGCGACGCCTCCAGGCACTGGTGGACAGTGGTGCGTCCCACTCGGTGTGCGACCGCGGGACGTTGGAGAAAATTGGAGAGTCATCGGAGGAGACCCAGTTTACAGCAACGATGGTGGACGGTACGAAGCTTCCCATCCACGGCGAGTCATCACTGCAGCTGCAGATAGGAACGTTGAGGTGGAAGCCGACGTTGCCGATCACGAACATCAAGGGATTAGACGTTGCGTGATTTTCTGAAGCGGTTCAACCCCGAGATTGACTGGGTCAACCGGAAGGCGTGTATCTACAACAATGGGAAACGTGTGGAGCTGCGAAGCTGGATGGATACAGGGGATGTTCCTGAAACGACGCTTGAACGGTTCGAACGGACGGTGAACAAGAGTAACACGGGTTACTTAGCACTAGTTATGGCAGCAGTAGAGGAGAAGCCGAACTCGGAGCTACCTGCAGCAGTACGGGAGGTGTTGGAGTAGTACAAGGACATCATGCCGGATGACTTGCCTGTAGGAGTGCCTCCAACGCGCACCCACGAGCACGAGATTGTGGAGGAACCAGGTGCGAAACCTATGGCTAGAGACGAGGGGAGGTAGAGACCCGACAGGGAGCCAGACGGGACCGCCGGACACGGTAGGACAGTGGAGTAGTGAGCAAGGACAGGACCCCCAGAGGGGTCCGCCAGGGAGACCGCAACAGGCCGACTGAGCGGTGTGAGAGTGGTGCAGTCTCGAAAGAAGGAGCGGGAAGCACCCGAGTCAAGGGTGAAGGTGTGGGTGTCCGGTGACGACGCAGCACCTGAGAGCGCAAACTCACCGGCACCTGGGGCGGCAGACGCACTGGCACCTAGAGCAGCAGCCTCACAAGTACCTAGCGCAGCAGCCTCTATGCCTGGGTCAGGCGGAAAACACCGGTAACAGTCACCCTCATCACTAATAGTCACAGCATACATGGCAGCAAGAATAGCATCAAAATCAAAATCATAGATCGCAACGCCCGCCCTAGACAGCTCGCCCCAGCGAGGGATCTCAGTAGCGTCGGGGAACTGGTGGCGCCACGCGTCCGTCAGACGACCGAAGCAGCGCTGGGTGGGGTGCGTGCCCCCACACTGCCCACCGGCCCGGTCGCCGGTACGGAGAACGTAGGTACAGGGGCCAGCACCCCCGCCCCGCTGACGAGCAGCGTACCACTCACGAAGCTGCTGGGGGGAAGGGGTCTCACGGGTACGCTGCTGCTGCTGCTGCTGGCGCGCACCACCACCGGAGCCACCCCTCTGCGCAGCGCCACCCCGACCAGCTCCACCGCCTCCGCCGCTACCTCCTCCAGTACCGCCACCTCCGCCACCTCCGCTCCCACCGCCACCGCCGCCTCCACCTCCACCTCCAGTCCCGCCACCAACGCCCCCATCCCAGCCACC